ATGACAAAAAGTTTTTAACATGCAACATGGCAGCCATTTTGACTTTTAAAAGGGTTAATTGTATGCAAATTTATGCAAATTAGAAGTCAAGGAGTAGTTGTAAGCTGCTGATAATGCTATTATCTTGTTCCTTGACCCCAAAAACATCGGTAAAGACACTTCGTTAAGCTTTCTATGTGTCTCAGATCTAGAGATATAGTTTTAAACATGAACAAATGGCAGCCATTTAGAATTTAAAAGGGGTTGATTATATGCAAATTTATGCAAATAAGGAGTCAAGGAGTAGTTCTAAGCTGCTGATAATGCTATAATTATGTTCATTGACCCCCTTAATATGGAAAAGGGCACTAAAATCAACTTTCTATAAGTATGAGATGACAAAAAGTTTTTAACATGCAACATGGCAGCCATTTTGACTTTAAAAAGGGTTAATTATATGCAAATTTATGCAAATTAGAAGTCAAGGAGTAGTTGTAAGCTGCTGATAATGCTATTATCTTGTTCCTTGACCCCCAAAACATCGGTAAAGACACTTCGTTAAGCTTTCTATGTGTCTCAGATCTAGAGATATAGTTTTAAACATGAACAAATGGCAGCAATTTAGAATTTAAAAGGGGTTGATTATATGTAAATTTATGCAAATTAGGAGTCAAGGAGTAGTTCTAAGCTGCTGATAATGCTATAATTATGTTCCTTGACCCCCTAAACATGGAAAAGGGCACTAAAATCAACTTTCTATAAGTATGAGATGACAAAAAGTTTTTAACATGCAACATGGCAGCCATTTTGACTTTTAAAAGGGTTAATTATATGCAAATTTATGCAAATTAAGAGTGAAGGAGTAGTTGTAAGCTGCTTATAATGCTATTATCTTGTTCCTTGACCCCCAAAACATCGGTAAAGACACTTCGTTAAGCTTTCTATGTGTCTCAGATCTAGAGATATAGTTTTAAACATGAACAAATGGCAGCCATTTAGAATTTAAAAGGGGTTGATTATATGTAAATTTATGCAAATTAGGAGTCAAGGAGTAGTTCTAAGCTGCTGATAATGCTATAATTATGTTCCTTGACCCCCTAAACATGGATAAGGGCACTAAAATCAACTTTCTATAAGTATCAGATGAGAAATAGTTTTAAACATGCAACATTATGGCAGCCAATTTGACTTTTAAAAAGGGTTAATTGTATGCAAATTTATGCAAATTAGGAGTCAAGGAGTAGTTGTAAGCTGCTGATAATGCTATTATCTTGTTCCTTGACCCCCAAAACATTGGTAAAGACACTTCGTTAAGCTTTCTATGTGTCTCAGATCTAGAGATATAGTTTTAAACATGAACAAATGGCAGCCATTTAGAATTTAAAAGGGGTTGATTATATGCAAATTTATGCAAATAAGGAGTCAAGGAGTAGTTCTAAGCTGCTGATAATGCTATAATTATGTTCCTTGACCCCCTTAATATGGAAAAGGGCACTAAAATCAACTTTCTATAAGTATGAGATGAGAAAAAGTTTTTAACATGCAACATGGCAGCCATTTTGACTTTAAAAAGGGTTAATTGTATGCAAATTTATGCAAATTAGAAGTCAAGGAGTAGTTGTAAGCTGCTGATAATGCTATTATCTTGTTCCTTGACCCCCAAAACATCGGTAAAGACACTTCGTTAAGCTTTCTATGTGTCTCAGATCTAGAGATATAGTTTTAAACATGAACAAATGGCAGCCATTTAGAATTTAAAAGGGGTTGATTATATGCAAATTTATGCAAATAAGGAGTCAAGGAGTAGTTCTAAGCTGCTGATAATGCTATAATTATGTTCATTGACCCCCTTAATATGGAAAAGGGCACTAAAATCAACTTTCTATAAGTATGAGATGACAAAAAGTTTTTAACATGCAACATGGCAGCCATTTTGACTTTAAAAAGGGTTAATTATATGCAAATTTATGCAAATTAGAAGTCAAGGAGTAGTTGTAAGCTGCTGATAATGCTATTATCTTGTTCCTTGACCCCCAAAACATCGGTAAAGACACTTCGTTAAGCTTTCTATGTGTCTCAGATCTAGAGATATAGTTTTAAACATGAACAAATGGCAGCCATTTAGAATTTAAAAGGGGTTGATTATATGTAAATTTATGCAAATTAGGAGTCAAGGAGTAGTTCTAAGCTGCTGATAATGCTATAATTATGTTCCTTGACCCCCTAAACATGGAAAAGGGCACTAAAATCAACTTTCTATAAGTATGAGATGACAAAAAGTTTTTAACATGCAACATGGCAGCCATTTTGACTTTTAAAAGGGTTAATTATATGCAAATTTATGCAAATTAAGAGTGAAGGAGTAGTTGTAAGCTGCTTATAATGCTATTATCTTGTTTCTTGACCCCCAAAACATCGGTAAAGACACTTCGTTAAGCTTTCTATGTGTCTCAGATCTAGAGATATAGTTTTAAACATGAACAAATGGCAGCCATTTAGAATTTAAAAGGGGTTGATTATATGTAAATTTATGCAAATTAGGAGTCAAGGAGTAGTTCTAAGCTGCTGATAATGCTATAATTATGTTCCTTGACCCCCTAAACATGGATAAGGGCACTAAAATCAACTTTCTATAAGTATCAGATGAGAAATAGTTTTAAACATGCAACATGGCAGCCATTTTGACTTTTAAAAGGGTTAATTTTATGCAAATTTATGCAAATTAAGAGTTAAGGAGTAGTTGTAAGCTGCTTATAATGCTATAATCATGTTCCTTGACCCCAAAAACATTGGTAAAGACACTACGTTTAGCTTTCTATGTGTATCAGATCTAGAGATATAGGCTAAAATAGGTTTTGTGTGTCTACCAGGGTCCGATATGGCGGCCATTTTGAATTTATGCAAATTAGGCACTGATCCACCACTACAATTTTTGTCAACTTTTAGTATGTTATTGTTAAGGTTTTTCCAGATAATATGCAAGTTGAATCGTTTCTGTTGCAATTAGTTCTTGGTTGACCCCTATTTTTTCATATTTTGACTGTACTATGTTAAGTAGAAGTAGAAGAAGAAGAAGAATATTAATGCGAAGAATAAGAACAAGGAGAAGGAGAAGAAGAAGAGAAGAAGAGAAGAAGAAGAAGAAGAAGAAGAAGAAGAAGAAGAAGACGAAGAAGATGAAGAAGAAGAAGACGACGACGAAGAAGAAGAACAGTTGGTTATATTAGGTAACCACGTTTCCAGGAAAATAAAGAAAAATGTGTATATAGCTGCCACCCCTCCCCCTCCCCAACATTTGCCTAAATTAAACAAGGAACATTATTAGTAGCAAAGCATGAGCGTAGATGGCGGCATTTCAATCAGATGTTGTAGCTCTAAAGTCCGAATGGTCATAATTATTTTTTAGTGTACCTTTGATCTCTTCATGTCAACAAAGAAAACATTAAATAATTAAAGCTGACATTTGTAAAATCATGGCCTACTTTTAACTTTATAATTACATATTTTTTTGTCAGTAGTTGTGCCCATCCTTGACTAGGGGTGTTTGCATGGCAGTGCAATACACAAAAAAAGTATTGGGGGATGGCAGATATTTCCACTATAGAGGGCGCGGAATGGACCTGTTTGCGTATGGTGCTGGGGGTTAATATCAGCACCTTAATATTTTTCATTTCTAATTTTTTCCAGGGGTGCTCTTCGCGACTGAAAGTCGGATTATTGAAGTACGTGCTGTTACCGAGTTCTGTATTGACAAGGGAGCCAATAATTTTAATCACTGAGAAGTTTGGTTTCAAAAGGCGCACTTCGATCAATAGCCTCCGTCGGTTAAAAAAAAAAAAAAAGTGGGGGGGGGGGGGGGGGGGGGGGGGGGGGGGAGGTCTGCACGATGAGCGTTCGATACAGTATACCCCTGAATCTCAAATTGGTGAAAGCATCAAAAGAGAGAAAAACAGAAGAAGAAGAAGAAGAAGAAGAAGAAGAAGAAGAAGAAGAAGAAGAAGAAGAAGAAGTAGAAAAAGAAGAATATAGGGCCATATTAATACGTGACCACATTTCCATGAAAAATAAGGATCATTCTATATAACTGCCCCTAACATTTGCCTCACTAATCTAGGACCATATTGTAGCAAACATGAACGTAGATGGCAGAATTTCAATCATATTTTGTAGCTCTATAAGGTCTGAATAAGGGGTCTGAATGGTCATAATTTGTTTAGTTGTATAATAGGCCTACTTCTCTTCATGTCAGAGATACACAAAGAAAATATAATAATCGAATTTGCAAGCCATTTGTAAAAGCCTACCTGTAACTATATAATAACATACAATTTTGTTTTCAGTAGTGTATAGGGGTTGCGCCAGTGCATTTTCGAAAAGAATGGGGGAGCAGATAGTTACGATAGAGGGCGTGGACCTGCATGGGTGAGAGATTGGGTTAATTTCTTCAGCACTGTAGTTTTCTTTTCTAATTTTTTCCAGGGGTACTCTGCATGGAGTACGTGCTCTCAGGGAATGTTGTATTTACAAGCTGGAGAATTTTAATCATATAGAAGTTTGAATTCAAATGGCGCTCTGCCTCGATCAATAGCCTCGGTTAAAAATAAAATAGGGACAATTAAGGTGGAGGGGGGGGGGGGGGGGTACTGCGTAGGGTGCTGTGCATGTGCACTGGTAGGCCTATACCCTACAACTCAAATTGGTAAACGCATTGATAGAGAGAGAGAGAGAGAGAGAGAGAGAGAGAGAGAGAGAGAGAGAGAGAGAGAGAGAGAGGATAAAGAAGAATCTGATCCAAGGTGGTTATTATAGTGGGGAGTGGAGGGAGGGGTCTCATTCACGTCTAAGATGGATTATGATGCCGGGTTATGATGGTGATAAATTATGGGAACATGAGTGATGACGTAGGCATAATGATACCGGTTGCAATGCCCAGGGTAGCATATTAAGTCAGCTGTGCATGCGGTGCCCGGAGTTTAACCCTTCGGGAATCGGACGGAGCGCTACACGACGTACACCCAGCACGCGCGGCCAACGTGTAATTGTTCATTCGATCGTGCGTGTCGAGGAAACATCACAATGGCTACTGCAAAACTGTCGTCAAAACTACGGCTTTTCGCCACAAACTATGGGTCAGCCTCATGCAAAACCATCATGGGACTAAGGAATTTCAGGCGGACCATTCCAGCTTCTCAGTCGTTTTCTACAAACTCGAGAAATCATCAAAAATCTCAGCCGACCGCGACACATTCGACTTACCCGCAGGTGTTTGCAGACAGCATTACACAACCGGAAGAGTTCTGGGCGGAACAGGCTGAGCGGGTGGTGTGGTTCAAGAAATGGGACCGGGTGATGGACTTGACTCAATCACCGGCCTCGAACTGGTAAAAAAGCTCAATAATTTTTTTTTTATTTTTAGTGAAGAATTATGATGGGGAAACACTATGCTTGATACTTCATCAATAACTGAAGTAGATTCTAAATTTGGCTGTTATCATTAAAAAAAAAGGTTTCTAGATCTAGATCTAGATCTACTTGAAAAAGTCTTGGACTCTTGTTCAGCTGTTTGTGTGAATGACACTGGTCACCTCCCTGCACTGATAGGCTTTTGAGGTCAACAGGTGGTCAACAGGTGGTCAACAAATTCAATGTTAAAAATTACGATTTCGAGAGGATGATGGATTCATGTAACTCCCAAGTCCTATAACAGTATTACTATAGTCCTAATGACAATGTACCCTAGGCCTAGTATAAGTTTTTTTGTGGAGAAAAAAATATTGGTGTTTTCGTGTCATGATTTGAAATAGAAAAATCCTCAAAAAAGAAATATTTTACATGTAATTTCTGTTTGTTGTTACATGCACCTGTCCATCTCCAAAACAAGTTCAAAAGGAAGTATGGCCATTTCTTTCTTTCACTCACTTTACTCACTTTAAAAATAACTATAAATTCATTGAAATTTAAAAAAAAGTCATGCAATTAAACTTGGAAAGAAGAATTCCTTTTTGCATTACACCCCCCCCCCCCCCCCCCCCCCCCCCCCCCCCCCCCCCCCCCCCCCGTTCTGTCCATATGCCATGGAATACGAGGGACCAGAAAATAACAAAGATACTTAATGATCAAAATACCTGCATCAGGATGTGAGCTCAGCTCAGGTGCTGTCCAGTCAGTTTTTCTGTGTTTTGGTAAAAGATAGGCCTACATTTGAATCAAAGCAGTTCCCCAAATAAAGTCAAGACTTGTTCACATACATGAAAGTTGTTCCACAGAAAAATGCATTTTCAAAAAGCGTACTTAGGAATGCTACACTTGATACTTTTGTATCTTTTAACATATTCAGATACATTGTATTGAATAAGGATGCATTGGATGTTTGTTGCCTGCAGCTACTGTTTTCGTCCCCACTTTCTAATTAACTTAGTAGAAGGGTCATAGAGAAACTGCTGCAATGTGTTATGACAAATGTAACCATGCAGGTTTGTTTATAGTTTACATAAACGAGTGTGTTTGTTCGTCTTCTTGTCTCAGGTTCGTCGGCGGTGAGCTGAACATGTGTTACAATGCCGTTGATCGTCACGTTGATGAGGGCTACGGTGATCAGGACGCTATCATCCATGACAGCCCCGTCACAGGCAGTGTCACCAAGATAACCTATAAAGAATTACAAGACGAGGTAGGTAGCACATCAATTTAAATTCTCATCGAATGGATACCTCAAGTATCTGGGCCAGCTCTTATGCATCTAGCATTTCTAGGCCATATTACAAGTTGAGCGACATCCCTTTGAAACGCGTGTTTTAAGTTTAACACACGTCTCAATGGGATGTCGCTCAACTTGTACTTATGATGGTTTCGTGAGACGCAGCCCAGTAGTAGTACATGTAGCTAAGTTTTAAGGCTCAAGTCTTATAATCCAGATCACGTCCAAGAATTTACTTTATAGCAAACATCAAGCCCAAATGTTTACTGATATCCACTGTGAGGTCACCACATGTTCATCAAGCCAATTCAAAAGTCACCATAAACTACATCTACATGTACAGGTGTACATGTATCTGTGTCCTATAGATTGGAGGAACTGTAATTGGGCGACAATGAAATGGACCTTGATATGAGACACAGGTTCAGGCCGAGGTTCTCCATAACTTCCTGTCTTCAGCTGTTCTAGTTTGCTGCTCAAATTGATGTTAACTTATTAGCCTATTGTCCTAGTTGGCATGCTCCTCTTTCTTCCACCATAAACATGTATAAAAAAGATATAATTATTTAATGTTTGAAAGCAGATCATTTTGATACATAGCAGAGCTTTGCATTCATACATGTACAGTACATTAAACACATGTATCTCAAATCAAAATGAACTTTGCACGTACATTGCATACACCTGTACGTGTACATGAAGCTGATTTGAAATAGGAAGATTTTATTTGTCATCAAACATTATTATGTCTTTTCTTAAATCAACATTCATAAGATAATGTTTTGAATTCTTAACCTATTTTGTACAGTGTGTATGTTTACAGTATTAAAGTCTAGGGAAATGAACAAACATAAAAGAAAACAGCCAGAGAAAGAAAGTGTATTAAAATACAGTCAGCAACTAAATTATTCATACCCCTTGTGAATTTGATGGTTTCAGTGTTTTTCGAACCTCAAAAAAAAAAGGTGGACTGATTGAATTAGAGCCTTTGTTGAATACTTTTAGATGTACGCTTTGCTATGTCACATTCTCACGAAACATAAATCGTGACGAATCAATTTTTCACACATTTTAAAAAACAAATTACAAAAATTGGTAAGGGTATGAATGATTAAGATGTTAACTGTATTTGTGCATTACCAATAAATTGTGATTGAAATTAACTTGAATTAACTGAACTTCCTACGCTGGTATCTTTTGCTATTATTTTTCATGCAGGTTTCCAAGTTTGCTGCAGCGTTGGTGAAGTCTGGGGTGAAGTACGGCGACCGTGTTCTCATCTACATGCCTATGATTCCCCAAGCAGTGATGGCTATGCTTGCTTGTGCCAGGATAGGAGCGATTCATGTTCTGGTCTTTGGAGGGTTTGCATCGAAGGAGCTGTCTGTTAGGATAGATCATGTTAAGGTGAGGGTAGAAAATAAGGTCTTGGTCTAAACAGAAAAAGAGAGATTGTTTAAAACTGATCAGACTTTGATGCCTCAATAAATCTCTACATGTGGGACCTATGATAAGCAAATGAATAAATGACGACGCTTGCATGTGCCAGGATAGGAGCTATTCGTGTACTGGTGTTTGGATAGATCACGTTCAGGTGAGGAGAGAGATGAGAATCAGAAAAGGGGTTCTACGACATACAATGTATATTCCAGTGCTAATTGCTTAGAGGTCAATGTCTTATGCTAATTGAAATCCTGTCTGTAACATTGGACCGAACACTGTATTTAATTCTAACTCTTCACATGATAGACTGAAACCCAAATGGCAACCCTAAGAAGGTTTTAGTCAAAACAGGAAAAAAAAGAGGGTTGTTTTAAACGATCGGACTCTTATGTCTCAATAAATAAATCCTTACCTTCATCCTTGCCAAAAGGCTCAATTGCACTCTTAAACCTAACAATTGGCCTTCGATAAATTGACTTGGGCTGCCTTCAAGAATGTGGCACTAAGTTATCAACAATTTCAACTGTTTAGCCCATTACATAGAAGTGTACATGTAACAATACCCACAAACTGTTTACCGCCCCCTCCTACCGAAAAAGACAAAATATTGCTTCATCATTTTTGTCTTCTTTTCCCCCACAGCCTAAGGTAATAGTCTCAGCGTCGGTTGGTGTTGAGCCCGGGCGCATCGTAGACTACAAGAGCCTTCTTGATAATGCCATCGATATGTGCGAATCCAAACCAAAGGCATGCATCATCTACAACAGACCAAACGTAAGTCTCAGCTATCCAGTCAAATTCAGCAGGTTGGATACCAAATCTCAATAAAAACCCAGTAGTATGATACCCGTTATAGCAGTTTACAGTTTTCTAAAGGTCTAAGAATTGATTCAGCTATTCCTTCTTAAATTGACAACAATTGGATACCAAATTTCAATAAAATCCGGTATCACACCCATTACAGCAGTTCACCGTTTCTAAAGGTCTATTAAAGTGATTCTGCTTTTCCTTCTCAAATTGACAACAATTGGATACCGAATCTCAATAAAAACCCAGTATGACACCTGCTATAGCATTATATCGTTTTCTAAAGGTCGAAGTGATTCAACTATTCCTTCTCAAATTGACAACAATTGGATACCAAATCTCGATACAACCCAGTATGAAACCCATTGTAGTAGTTCACAGTTTTCTAAAGGTCTAAGTTATTCTGCTTTTCCTTCTCAATCTGACAACAATCGGATACCAAAGCTCAATAAAACCAAGTATGAAACAATAACATCAGTTCACAGTTTTCTAAAGGTCTAAGGGATTCCGCTTGTCCTCCTCAAGTTGACGACAATAGGATAATAAAGCTCGATAAAACCCAATATGACACCTATTACAGCAGTTCACAGTTTTATGAAGGTCTAAGAGATTCGGCTTTTCCTCCTAAATATTGTATTTTCCACTCTGTCATAGTCTGAAAACTAAGAATATGTATTAAGTGAGACTTCAGTGATCATTTTTTATAAAGGTATCTGAGCAAAACCGAGTTGTATGAAAAGCATGTCTGGAACGCAATGTGCATACATGTAACTGTTGAAATTCATAATTTTAGGACACAGAGGTAGAACCAAATCGTTAGGATATTGGGCTGATTAATGCATCTCTCCAAAACAGCATTGTTAATCAAGTTCAAATGTTGAACTGTGGTGAGACTACTATTGAAACTTGGTATAGTGCCATTCATCATCATTATTTAATCGTCATCATCATCGTCATCATATATTGTTATAATCATATTAATGATCTAACTTCATTATCATCTTCAATATAAATAATCACTTCTAATACTCTAAAAGACAGATCACCTCATACTTGTTCACAGTTATATAAGTCTTGTGTCATTGTTATTGTTTTGTGATTTGTTGCCATCGTCATAATCATCATCATTATCGTTATAAATCATATTAATGATCTTAGTTATCATCCTCAATATCAAAAACACTTTTGATGCTCTAAAAGTCAGACCACCACCTTATACTTGTTCACAATTATACAAGTCTTGTGTTTTCATATTTTTGGCTCTTATCATTATCATCATCATCATCATCTTTATCCTGATCCTCATTATCACTATCAATAGAACATTTGCCACTGTCCACCTCACACTCGTTCACATGTTTATATAAATAAACAAGTCTTGTTTTGTTGTTCTTGCTTTTGTAGTTATTGCTGTTTAATCATCATCATCATTATCACTATCATTAAAATGTTTACCACTGTCAATTTAATACTTCTTCACAAGTCTGTCAATTTAATACTTCTAAACAAGTCTTGTTTTGTTGTTCTTGCTTTTGTAGTTATTGCTGTTTAATCATCATCATCATTATCACTATCATTAAAATGTTTACCACTGTCAATTTATTACTTCTTCACAAGTATATAAGTCTTGTGTTTTTATTGTTTTTGTAGTTGTTGCTATCATCATCATCACCACCATCATAATCATCATGATCATGATCCTCATCATCATCATCATCATCATCATGATCCTCATCATCATCACCGTCATCGTCATCATGTTTACCATCATCATCATTGTCCCTACTATTCAAATGTTCACCTCTCTGAAACTCGTACTTGTTCTGTTAACAGTATAGACATTTAAATCTTCAAATTATCTTCTAATTGTTGTTATCGCTTTTACCATAATCCACATGTTCATCATCATCCTCACTATCACCTATATATTACCCATGTTCACAGTTTGAAACTGCCAACTTCATACCGGGCAGAGATTTCTGCTGGACAGAGCTTGTCTCATCGGTCAAGGGCCATGATTGTGTACCGGTCAAGGCGACAGACCCCATCTTTGTCTTACACACGTCAGGTACAACCGGTACACCAAAGGTAAAGATATGGTCGCTATAAACGCTTTTTTTTTTCTCGCCACTGTCCACAGTTTGAAAGCACTAAGTTTATACCGGGCAGGGATTTCTCCTGGACAGAGCTGACCGCCTCGGTCCAAGGTCATGATTGTGTTCCGGTCAAAGCGACAGACGCCCTCTATGTTCTACACACGTCGGGGGCGACAGGTACCCCTAAGGTAGGTGCTGCGGCAGTATCAAGTTCATCATCAATACCGGTAGTGCTAGAGGTGTCGTGGTCTAGTGGATAAGTCACCTGACTGCGGATTAATGGTTGACGGTTCGAGTCCCGCAAGACATTTATCTACATTTGCCACACTCGACCCAGGTGAATGTCCTGTGCAGCGAGAGTCACGGTACAGTTGGAAATTACTTGGACCTTGCCTTCATGAGTGGAGAGCATTCAGGAATGATTCGGTTGAGGAGTCTTTGATAATGAACATTCCTTACAGGATAGTTCTTCAGGAGTAGGCAGAGACCTGGGCCCATTGCACAAAACTTACCATTGATGACAAAGTCACCATGGAAACCTTGATTTTGATAGGCTTTTGAGCCCTGTTACCATGGTAGTTGCCATTAATGGCAAAGTTACTATCAATGGTAAGTTTTACATGTATGCAATGGGGCCCAGACCTGTTGGGTTGGATGTAGAAGTGTATTCCTTTAATACATGCGTTTCAGTGGGGTGTCTGCAAAATTGCACTAGATAGTGTTGTGAATTGATGTGCTGGTACATGAAATTTGACCCCACTGTTTTATGACTAAACCATGATCTTGCTCTAAACTTTTGATCTAGGCTCTCATGGGCCCCCCTGGGGAGTACTGTATACAGGGTGGCCCGCAATAGGCCATTTAGTATTACTTATTTCTCTGTGTTTAATTGATATAATAAACTTTAATAAACTCAATCTTAATGTTAATACCTCTGCTCTTCTTTAATCTTTTGACTAAAGCCTGCCGCAGAATATGCAATTGAACGGAGGTCCGATTTTTGTAATAAAATCACAATAGCATCAGATATGGACATTAAACAAATATAATCTTCTTGATTTAGTTTCTAAATAGTGGAATGAATACTAAAAGTTAAAACTCAGTGCATTGTAAACCTTCCAGTTCAATTAATGCCAAATCAGCTTCAAAATCGAAGACCATCCCAACACTGGTCTGATGTCAATATGATTCATAGCCAATTTGGGCTTTTCCTGCACGTTGTACCACAGAGATGGCTATATCCTTAAAATAAGGTTTTCTGAACCTTAATATCAAAAGCTATTTTCAAGATTATTCAAAAATCAGATCCTAGTCGCATTTTATAGTTTTCCATTGGCTTAAAGAAATAGACCGGTTTTGGAAACACCCCCCTGGAAGCTCTTATTACCAATCATGTGAAAGAATATGTTTTGACTAATATGTGATGATACAAATTTTGCAGAGAAACCGACTACTAATTGATATATTTAGTAAATTATTATATCTATTTGGACCTGATAGATATCGCGCATGTGTCACATAGTCCCATAAACATCTTTCTGTGTACAGTGCTTGTAACTTTACCAAGACTGGGCCAAATTTCTTATAATTTTGATAATTCCAGAAGCTTGCAGTACACACCAATACTTATATGCTAGATGATCAACCTTTTCTGATCGATTCCACAACGTTTCTTTGACAATGCAATCGGAAGACCATAACTGGTCTTTATCTTTTATATCAAATGCTATTTTTCAAAGTTATTCAAAAATCAGATTTGCTAGTTGTATTGCATGGTTTTCCATTGGCTTAACCTTTTTATCTCTTTTTTTCTAGGCTCCCATGCGCCCAACCGGGGGGTATGTAGTGGCCCTGTACTGGACCATGAAGCACCTCTATGGCATGGAGCCTGGTGAGGTCTGGTGGGCTGCGTCCGATCTGGGTTGGATTGTGGGACATTCCTATATATGCTATGCTCCCCTTCTGCATAGGAATCCAACTATTATGTACGAGGTGGGTAGCAGGGAGAGAGAAAGAGAATTGAGAGATGGAGGGAGGGAGGGGAGGAGAGAGAGAGAGAAAGAGGGAGATGAGAGAGAGACAGAGAGAGACAGAGAGAGAGAGAGAGAGAGAAAGGGGGGGGGGGGGGAGGGAAGAGAGGTAATATCATTGTTGGACATTCCTACATCTGCTAGGCACTGCTATTATGTATGAGGTGGGTAGCAGGGAGAGAAAGAGAATTGAGAGAGAGAGAGGGAGAGAGAGAGAGAGAGAGAGAGAAGGGGGGGGGGGGGAAGGGGAGAGAGGCTTTAGTCATTATTGGACATTCTTACATCTGCTATGCTTCACTTCTACACAGGAATCCAACTATTATCTATGAGGTTGGTAGCAGAGAGTGAGAAAGAGAGAGAGAGAGAGAGAGAGAGAAAGGGGGAAGGGAGAGAGAGAGGGGGGGGGGGGGGGAGGGTGCAATAAGGTAAATGAAGAAATTGATAGATCAAATTTACTAGAGGTACATGTATGAATAATTCAGTTGTTAACAGTATCTACATTGGTAGAGAAGAGATATATATATGAGAAAGATGAACAAAAATGACGGAGAAATTGAAGTGAGGAAGAGAGAGAGAGAGAGAGAGAGAGAGAAAGAAAGAAAGAAAGAAAGAAAGGCATAAGGAAGGAAGAAAACCTTGAAATATTTATAAAAAAGTGATAGAGAGAGAGAGAGAGAGAATGAGAGTAGGAGAGAGCAAGTAAAAGACAGACGTAAGGCAGAAGGCAATCACAACTGGAGTCTGTTCACCACAGATCTTTCAAAATTTTCGAAAAAGACAACTAGATTTAATAGCAAGTCTTCCAGCTGTGGATTTAGAAATGTATTGCCAGATTGAAAAGCAAGTTGTCTAAACCTCCCTGCTCCATTCTGTCTTACAGCTACAGTCAAACCTGCTTTAGAAACCACCTGTATAGAAAGACCACCTGTTTATAAAGACCACATTTGTTGTTTCCCTTGAAAATGGTTTCTTATTGAAACGTCTACTAAAGGAACCTGTACATAAAGACCACCCACCTGCCTGTTAAGACCACTTTCCATGTCTCCCTTGTGTGGTCTTTATGGACAGGTTTGACTTTATTAACTGTAATACACTCCAACGTCACCTCTCTTCTCTCACTCCCTCCCTCCCTCAAGGTCAGCCGGTTGGCATGCCAGATGCAGGAGCCTATAATGGCCATTTTTCTTGTCTTCCTTGGGTAGTTTTTATAGTAAAACTGAAATAGACTCCACCATCACTTCTCTCACTCCCTCTCTCAGGGTAAACCGGTTGGCACGCCCGATGCCAGAGCTTGAAGATGGTTTCTCATTAAAAAATTCACTAAAGAAACCTGTACATAAAGACCACTTGTCTGCAAAGACCACTTTTCTTGTCTCCCTTGGGTGGTCTTTATAGACAGATTTCACAGGAATGCCAGTTTTCAGACAATAGCCTGATTTCAGACCCTGGCAAGTTATTTTCAGACCATAGTTCAGGCCTTTTTGTGTACAAAAAAGCTCATTCTAGGTGATTTTCAAGCCCTCTGATCAATTCTAACTGGCATCCCTGCTCCTTGTCCTCTCTCTCAGGGTAAGCCGGTCGGCACGCCCGATGCCGGAGCCTTCTTCCGGGTATTGAACGAGCACAACGTTGTGTCCATGTTCACCGCTCCAACGGCTCTCAGGGCCATCATCAAGGAAGACCCCGACGCTGTCCTGGCCAAGAAGTACTCCAGAGATAAGTAAGTGATCAAGACCATAGCTTTGCTTCGTAGATAGCTTTAGATAGCTTCATAGACAGCTTTAGCTTTGCTTCGTAGATAGAAAATTTGCAGCTCAACTTGGCTCAGTGTATTGAAATGTTTCCCTTTTGAGGGGAAAGAAAGAAGTAAGGAAGTGAACTTTCCAAAATAAATGTCGTCAGGAAATGTTTATCTTTAAGTGTGCTGGTAGAAAAGACAATTCAAATGGCATTCAAGGAGCAGCTGTCTGTTACAAGAGATACCATAACCCCCCCCCCTCAAAATAATGAAGTTGATCATCCCTGTAGAATATGAGATTTCACCAAAAGATAGGTTTTTATGCCTGAATGGCATTTTGTAAAGTCCTATACATAATCTGCATTTTATAAGTGCGTGTAGAAAATAAGCATGGTTTAATGTGAAGAAAACCTAGATTTTATTGTGTTATTTGAGTAGATTGGCATTCTTCCTCTTCTTATTGTCGTTTTGTTTTGCATTATCAATGTGTTTTCTTGTCCCCTCAGTAAAATGAATTCCCTTTAAGGTTCGTTCAGATATGACGATGTGAACCACAACAATATAAATGAATGCCTGCAACAAATGTGAAGGGAAGCACGCTTTGTGTTTTCTTTTAAAAATGCAGCTTTTTGCAGAGTCCGAACAAGCCTTTATTGTGCACATGTTTTAGAGATTTATTCTTTCCCATTTGTTCTTTTAAATATTTTATTTTATAATTTCTTGTTTCATTTGATTTAACCATGAAACTTCAGTTTAGTTCATTAGCTTTGCTCATTTTATGTTTGTAGATTTAGATATCTGTATGTGGCTGGTGAGATCTTTGACCGCGAGTCGCTTCACTGGTGCCGAGATGTATTCAACGTCCCCATCATTGACCATTGGTGGCAGACAGGTCAGTTCAACATTGAAGTCATTGACCATCTTATATCCTATTCTCGTTTCATGAATATACGTAGAAATCAGGGAAAAACTTGTATTAAAATACCATAGAACTTTGTCTTGCCCTTGGCTTGTACTGGTTATAATTTTGAAATGTTGATAATCTCTTTGTAGCTTTTATGATTTCACAGATTGGGATTAGCTTGGACTAGTCTGTAAGCACAGTCTCTATTTTGACACTTTATCACAATTCTTAAAGCCTTGAGCAGAGCCTAGATATGTCAGTCTTCTGGCTTATCTGGAGCAGCTCAAGTACAAAGTCTATGCAGTATGCTCTCAACCTAGTCTAAAAGTGCAGACACTATTCCTCAACACAAAGGACAAGGGTTTGTGCATGAAGACTAGGCTTGGGCTTGCCTGTGCATTGATGATATTATTTGGAAATATTGATAATCTAGCTTTGTGACATTTGAACTTCACAGAAACTGGATGGGCAATGACGCACACAGCTGTAGGAATGGGAGAGGACTTATACCCAAGACATGGTGTGACCGGCAAACCAGTGCCTGGATGGGATGGTAAGAAGGAAAGATTGATGGATAGATGGATTGATGAATGGATAAATAGATGGATGGATAGATAGACATAGAGATGGATAAAGGAAAGGTACACATCTAGGATTAGGAGAAGATCTGTGTCCTAGACATGGTGTTATTGGAAAACCTGTGCCTGGATGGGATGGTAAAATGGATAGATAGATTGCTTGGTGGATTGATAGATGGATAGGTAGATAGGTGGACAACTGGATAGAGTAATGGATATATGCATGGATAGATAGATCAATTTATGGGTGAATTAATTGAAAAAAGGATAGATTGATAGATTGATTGATAAATGGGCAGATAGATAGATGATAAATGGGCAGATACATAATTAGAAAGACCCATGAATCTACAGATTGATGGCTAAAGATATAGTTCTATAGCAAGATTTTGATTGATCGAGGGAGGGATAGTTACATGTATGGAGGTTTTTGGGGAACAGATAGATGTACAGATACTGAAAAATAAATAGATTATTAGACAACGAGATGAATAGATAGATAAATAAATATATAAACCAACAGATCAATATAAACATCGGTAGGTGGATAGATTGATAAATGGATAGAAAAATGTTGGTAGATAGATGGATATATAGATGTATTACTTGACAATAAATTATATCTTTATTTTCATTTCTAGTGAGGGTTTTGGACCAGACAGGCAAAGAGGCACCTCGTGGCGAACTGGGAAACATTTGCGTCAAGTAAGTGAACTCCTTCAATTACTGTAATTTTGATATTACAGAGCTTTTTTTTTTAATGTGAACAGTTGTGCCAATGCATTGTTACCCAGCTCATTTCTTGAGAGAAAAATGTGGATAAAATCTTCAGATTGGCAGCATGTTAAAGGTAAAGACCAGTATTGGAAACGCCCCAATTTCAAAAAAATGAAATGGAAGTTCTTATTACCAATCATGTGAAAGAATATGTTTTGAATAATACATGATGATAAAAATTTTGCCGGGAAACCGCCTACTAATTGATATATTTGGTAAATTAGTTTATCTATTGGGATGTGAGAAATAAAAACGCATGTGTCGCGCACGTGTGCATAGTCCCATATACATCTTTCTGTGTACAGTGCTTGTATATTTTTATGAAGACTGGGCCAAATTTCTTTTCATTTTGATGATTCCAGAACCTTGCAGTACACACCAATACTTATATGCTAGATGAACAACCTTTTCTGATCGATTCCACAACGTTTCTTTTACAATGCAATCGCATGACCAGAACTCAACCTTATCTTTAACTTCGGTGTATCAATCTTTTTCCAATCAGGTTGCCTCTCCCACCAGCTGCCTTCACCACACTGTATGGCAGCCATGATAGGTACATCGAGACCTACTTTGAGAAATATCCAGTAAGTAGAAGGAAAACATCTCCTTTATAAATGTAATGCTTCCTGGGAGAAATTTTAATTGTTTAAACATCTCTTGTGCTCTAGTTTTCCATTTTGCTCCGGTCATTACACAACATGCACCTTTTGTATATGTGCATGTCTGCAGCTGTGGTTTAGGTTGTAGGCTGACTCCTGTGTGGCTTAATGTAAAGGGGGAGAGAGAGAGAGAGAGAGAGAGAGAGAGGGGGAGAGGGAGAAAGAGGGAGAAAGATGGAGAGAGAGGGAGAGAGAGGGAGAGAGAGGGGTTGTAGGCTAACTCCTGTTTGACTTAATGTTAAATGAAATCTGGAGGGGGGAGTGAGGAAGAGAGAAAGAGAGTGAGTAGAGATGGGGGTGAGAATATGAGAGGGATAGAGAGAGAGAGAGTTGGAGGGAGAGAGAGAGAGAGAGAGAGAGAGAGACAGGTTGTAGGCTAACTCCTGTTTGACCTCCTTTTCCTCCTCCTCCTTCTCCACCCGCTCCTCCTCATTGCTGTTGTTGTTGTTACTATTATTACTATCAATCATCATCGTTTATCATCTATCTAGGGTTACTATGACACCATGGATGCAGGTGTCCATTCTGAAGATGGTTACATTGCAATTCAAGCCAGAGTAGATGATGTCATCAGCGTTGCGGGACATCGTATCGCTGCAAGTGCTATCGAAGAGGTAAGAATCTTGTCTGCTTTTCACACATGCACCCAGGGTGATTGCACCTTGGTCATTATCCTAACAAAACAAAAACAAGTAGTCAACACTTTGAACATCTACCAGGCTACCCAAGCTTTTGAAAGTTTAATTTGTACTAATCAACAAAATGTATTTGGTTTTGTGTAATAGGGGTTCAATGTCGCTATACTGTATTATAAATAAGAGCTTTATTTATTACAACTGTATGATTGTCATTTTTCAGGGTATGGTTGAACAGAGGAATTAGATGAAGTAGTTTTATACTTTTCTTTTCAATGGTAACACAACAACCAGATGTGAATATATTATTGTCTTTTCAATTTATTGCTTTTTTCTCGTTATGTTCAATATATATTTCAGGCCATGGTTGAACAAGGAGATATAGTAGAATGTTGCACCATTCCAGTCAATGACAAACTCAAGGGACAAGTTCCAGTCGGACTCTGTGTTCTCAAGAAGAGTAAGTCAAAATCCTTCTTCTTTTTAGTTGTTGTTGCATCTATTGACAATTCCAGGCCATTCATACTGTTGTCCATACTGTTGTTAATTTGACTTTTTTGTGATTTTTGTAAGTCAAGAATGAAAGATGGATTCGTTGAACTAAGGACTTTGTTTTTTAGATGTAGGCCTAAGCTTTGATCCCAAGAAACATTGATCAGGAATTTGTTTGTTATACCTATTACAAAAATTACAAAACTTGTTAAGGGAGTGAATATGTCAGTTGTTAACTTTACGTCTTGTACCCATGTATTTGATAAAAAAATTATAATTGATCAATACAGCAGGCCTGCAATAATGTGTATGGCCATTGACTAAGGGTACTTTCTGGAATCATTAACTATCATTCAATAGTTATAAGATATTTTCCATTCTTGTATGTCGTACAGGAATAATGAACTGGCCTTATGGAAATGACTTGCATTAGAGCGTGTAGTAAGTTTGTCTTAGCCATTACTATAGACAGGCCTTACTTATCCTTTCTACATAAAATCTGATTTACTTTCACTGAATCCAGGTTCTGAGACACGTTTGTCTCCCTCTCTTGACAAGGGCAGGCACAATGTGTTACCCAAGATGTGTGTGTGTGATTTTTCATGCCATTTACCACAATCAAATTATGGATGTTAATTGAAGAAGAACTTTGCCCCCGCCTCCAGATAAAAGGTGTTACAGTGGCGAGGGTCAAATGAATTAAGTGACTCACTGACACATTATAAAGGTCAACTATAGAGTGACGGAAAAATGATGGAAGTATTCCATCAAATGTTTAGGGGAAAAGCTAGTTGGTTGCCGTAGATTCTTTAATCCAGAATATCATCGATCAAAAAGCGTTTTCACGGCATCTCCTTTTTTCGACCAGAGTATTAACCTGCCTTGCCATTTTCACAATATCTCTGAAAACCTACTTCTTTCCTCATTTATATTCGTACATGTGTGTTTAGTGAGTTTGATGTTTGTCTGCACAAAATGTTATTTTATAATAAAGCGGTATCACAGCGCTATTACTGTTTGTTTTTAGCACTCCTAAATAATCAAATTATTAGTATTATTCAAGACTTCAAGTTAATACTGACAACCTTGCTAGTCATTTAATGGGGGATAAACCAGTGAAAGAATAAGTACTCTTTTGTTGGCAGAGCTCTATTCAAAATATCAGTGAGATTGTACCTTTATTTATTTGTACAAGAGCTTATTGTTAGAGTGCTCTTCATAGTGAACCCCCTCACCATTCATAAGGACTGGTTTCTCTGGCTTAAACATGAGAAAATAGATACATGTACATAGGCCAATCTATTTATGTAACTTGTCTCTCTCAAGATACAAATGTGTGTTCTAGAACCTGTCTAGAATGGCCACCCGTCTACAGTGGCCACTTTCTTTGTTTCCCTTGGATGGCCTTAATATACAGATTTGATTGGAATTTATTTACCCCCTCCCAAGGTAGAAAAAATTTCCTTGTTGCTCTTCATGTACATGTAATTGGTGGTTCAACATGTCTGAAAACTCTGAATAGGTTTTTAAACAGCAGCAGGTATTAAAGGTAAAGACCAGTATTGGAAATGCCCCAATTTCAAAAAATGAAATGGAAGCTCTCATTACCAATCATGTGAAAGAATATGTTTTGACTAATACATGATGATAAAAAATTTGCCGGGAAACTGCTTACTAATTCATATATTGGTAAATTTGTTTCTCTCATGGTCTGTGAGAGATATAGGGTAGTCCCATATACATCTTTCTGTGTAAAGTGCTTGTAACTTTACGAAGAATGGGCCAAATTTCTTATCATTTTGATGATTCCAGAACCTTGCAGATGCTAGATGCTAGATGATCAACCTTTTCTGATCGATTTCACAACGTTTCTTTCACAATGCAATCGCATGACCATAACTGGTTTTTACCTTAAATCAGACAGCAAAGGCATATGTGTGTGACCTACATGTACATGCACATAGCATCATTTATTAATACATGACATGTACATGCATGGGGTGTGCAAACAGTAAACAACAAAATTATCTCTACCCCTTATATGAAGTGGTAATAAAACCCAAATGAATATAAAGTAGAGATGAGTGTACATATTTGATATCATTAAAATCTTATGATCAAAGTGCCCTTTTATACCTGGTTCAATATTTGGAGTACCGACAGACATCCTATTTTAGTATTTACAGTTTACTTCAAATAATGATACATACTGGTATTTTTATGTAATCGTGTCGTATACAGATAAAGTTTCAAGCCCTTATATATGTAGCTTTCATAGGCAGCAAAGTCAAAGAAAAATGACACGTCTGGCTTCTGAATATAAATTGTTCAAGAGAAAAAATAAATATTGACATTCTTTTTCATATCTTGTCTATGTGATAATATTACTAATACTTAAAAAAACTGAAGTGTTAAATCAACATGTGTAAGGGGCACAGAGTGACATCTTTTTTTATTTAATATGCTTTATCTCACTATTTATGTTTGTGGATCATCCAATGTTTATTACAAATGTTGGATTCAGAATTTTAAAGGTACTATGTCCCTTTTGCAGCCAACCTCAAATTCTGTAGAACTTTGCAGGAATTATGAATATGTCATGTATGTCCTATCTGTGAAATTTAAACGTTAGCAGTGTCCTCATACTCGAATTATGCAAGGAAACCCGTTTACTTTCTAGACTTCACTGTCAGACACTATTGAGTGACTGACTGGCTTTTTTTCTTCTTTGGTAATAACATACATGAAAAGAGTTGTAAAGGGTACATGAGCATTTGTCTGCATCAATAACCCACTTCTTGTGATGGCCAAGATTAAACTGATTGAATCTTTGCACAGCATATAACGTACATGTATGACCATTTGGTACAATTGTCTGAAAATCAAGACTATTACTTTTGGGCTCTATAGCCCTAAAATCGATTTGACAACTAATAGTCGTTATTTTCCCACTTGAAGACATTTTCAAGCCCCACCTTTTTTAGGGAAGTTCTAAATTAGTATTATCTTTCAAATGCAGTTGGAATTTAACTTTTCATTTTTTTGGCCTGCAAATGGGACATAGTACCTTTAAAAGTGTCAAAGCTACTTTATTGGAAACATACATGTTCTCTCTCCTTAGAACTTTAGCCCTTTCAGGACAGAATTTAGTTCTAGGGCTAAATTGATCACATGCTGTTTTTTAAATTGGCAACATTGATATTTTCTTTCTTTTATTGATATTTTGTTAAAATAAAGTGTTATGTCTGTAAAAACAATTGACATGGGGAAGAATATCAACATTTTGAAGAAAAAAAATGCAAATTTGATCCAAAAACAATGATTTAGAATCTCTCAAGATGTTGCTAATTTAAGGATTTTCCTTTAAAATATTCCAGGCATCATTATGAAACAAACATGGATGCAGTGTGTGCAGAAATGTTTTCCCTTTCTCATACTACCAATGCATCTGGCATTTTTTCTTTTGTTGGGGGTTGGGGGGGGGGGGGTCTGAATCAACCTTTATTGAGTCAAACTACGAAGTTTGGAATGATTGTCGCAAAAGGGTTCAATCTTTATTTGATGCTTCTAAATGAACCCTTGGGTAGAACCATATATTTCTTTTTATATAATAAGTGAATTTCTCGTTAAAGTTCTAATTTATCTCACTACAGTCATACTTAAAGGTAATACAAAGTTTTGGTATGGGGTCATGAATGCGCGGTTGAAATCGAGTCTAAAGTGATGAAATTGTAAATAATAAACTCTTTATGTTGTATAGCTCCCTGTCAAGAATTAGCTTTAAAACAATGTTTCTTGACTACAATTGACCGATTTGCTATTCCTGTTTGGAAATTATATATCAGAACTGCATATTCTGAGATTTTCATGGTCGCAGCTACCATGGAATGGCCTTTGGCGCTATTTGAAATATTTGAAATTTACCAGGAGCACCAGTAAATTTTGGTTATTCAATTTCTCAAAAGCAGAAGTGTTTTAGGGGCGAGATTTTCTAGTGCATGTAAGACATCCATAGGGACATCCAAATATATCAACATTTTAAAGAATTACTATCCATCCAATTTTCAAAATTTCCCCGAACTTTGCATTACCTTTAATCTGATCAAATTCATGAAGTAGATATCAAGCACATTCACATTTATCTTCCTTTGACATCTTTGAACCCATCAATTTTATTGCGAAGATCTGAAATGTAAAGTTCTTGCAAAGGCTGTCGAGAAAAGGGCTCTGAAAATGTTTACTGTACAATTCTTTGTTACATATAGTGGTAATCTGGTGGATGCAATTCATATGAGCCACCTCACCTCAGAATATTTGTATGCGACCTTTTTCTCAAACACAAGGGATGTCAATTTTAACATACCGGTTCCCACAGCTTACAGTGTTAAAAAAAAAAAGAAGAGGGTGCGAATCTTCCAGGGGGGTGTTTCACAAAGACAAAGATCAACGTTAAGTTGGACTTAACTATGGCAGGCCGTTCATGCCACTGTTTGCTCTCACCGTTAACTGGCATTGGTCGATCAAGGGACGTACAAATCATGGTCAAAAATCTACAGAATTTACATTTATGGATAATTCATTATTAAAGAAAAATATATTTTCTAAATATCATAATGGTGAGAGCAAACAGTGGCATGAATGGCCTGCCATAGTTAAGTCCAACTTAAGTCAACCTTAGTCTTTGTGAAACACCGCCCTGTTTGCCCAAAGCCCATCTTAAGTTCAGGTCTTCAACATACACTCACACAAAGTGACAATGTACATGTGTTAAGCCTACAGTGCAAATCTAGTCTGACAAAATTATGGAAATACGGTATAATCTGGAATGATATTTGTTGTTACGTTAGCGGGCGATCCTCATCTGGTCTCCATGGTATTTGGGAGCCGGTAGATAACCATCTTGATATGCAAACTGTCATCTCTAGGATCCGCTGGGGAGAGATAATGTACGCATGTTGCCCGTGATAGTATCGGGAGTCTCGTGGCGGGTAGAAAAAAAAAGAACAGGACTTTGTGGCGATAAGTTTTTATCAGTGTTTGCACTTTGATGCACTTTCTTTATGTTTTGTTTTGTTAAGGGGATATTGTTTTAATATAAATGATAACAGGAGAGAGAAAGAAATAGAGAGAGAGAGAGAGAATGAGTGAAAGAACATGAAAGAGGAGTAGGGAGAGAAGCAAAGGATGAGATAGTATGAGAGAGGGTTACAGATTGAGAGAAGAGAGAGAAAGAGAGAAGAGAAGAGAGATTGAGACAGAAAGAAAGAGAGAAAGAGAATAAGAGAAAAGGGGTAGGGAAAAAAAAGCAAAGAATACGAAAGTAGGGGAGGATAGGGTTACTGAGAAAGAGGGAAAGAGAGATGGATAGAAAGAGAAAAATCCAGGGCACAATAGAATGCATTAAAAGAGCGTGAGATGGAGAGAGGAAGAGGGGGGGGGGCAATGAAAAAAGGGGGAGAGGATGTTTGGGCAGAAGAGACATGAAAGAAATGTATAGACGCATGTACAGTAGTATACATGTCCAGATCGAAAATTGAGTGAGAGTGAAAGGGATAGATAGAAAGAGTGAGAGAAAGTGAGAAAGAGAGATTAAGAGAGAGAGACTGAACAAAAGAAAATAAAAGGAAGGGAAAGAAAAAGGAGAGGAAAAAGGGAGGTTTAGAAAAAGGTCATGCCTGGGTCATCTACCACAGAATGTACTGTATGACTTCATTCAGTGAAACATGGATTTCTTTCATTTTTTAGAAATATTTACATTTTGTGTACATTACAAGTACACAAACGTGTGGTATGTAGCGTGACAAAATAGGAATTATAAAAATAGCGGAATTTATTTCGGGCTATAAAGAAGAACATAATTTTAGATAGGGAAATGATAACGAAGTTCCTTGAATGCTTGAGCACCTTTTCATGGTAGCTCGGCTAAAGCCAGGGTAATAATATGATTGCAGGGCAGTCAGGGAGAATGGTATTAATACTGATGAGGCTACCCTAGGTAAATAAGACTTATTATTATCATTATTTGCTTGGGAGTGATTGGAAGGTTTGATTGCATAGCACATACGTATTGGTGAATGCTGTGAAGTTTGAAATCATCAAAATGATAAGACATTGGCCCAGTCTTGCTAAGAGTCACTGTATGCTTCTTTGATAGTCTTCCAAACAAAAATAACAAAATCGAAAAAAGCTCACAGATGACTTCCGCCTTTCCCAGAACTCAAGCTTCTCTCCTATATATATATAAAAAGAATATCACAGTTCAGTGGTAAGAAATTCATTGATGGTTGATTGTGTTAAATTAAAATAGTTTTTATGATCAGATTTAGGACTCAGCAAATGTTGACTACGAGGCTTACGTTGGACCTGTGGCGTTCTTTAAGGAGGGCATTGTAAATAATAAATTTTCTATAACATAATGCAGGCCTCAAGATTATCAGCATACTCTAACACTGACCTTTTTTTACATGTTGTTGTGTTTTTCATGTGAGACATTACACAGGCCTGAGCAACAGATCATGGATGAAGTGATCGCTACCGTGCGGTCTAACGTTGGACCTGTCACATTCTTTAAGAGGGCTGCCATCGTCAGTAAACTACCAAAAACCAGACCCCAAAAATTCAAAAAACACTGCAACACTTACCTTAAATTTTGTTGTTTCTTGTTTCTTATTTCACTCAGATGTTAACAAGCCAGAGAAGCAAATCATTGATGAAGTGATCGCTACCGTGCGCTCTAACGTGGGACCTGTCGCATTCTTCAAGAAGGCCGTCATCGTCAGTAAGCTGCCCAGGACTAGGTCTGGAAAGATCACTCGAGGAGTAATCGCAAAGATGGTCAACGGTGAAGACTTCAAGGTAGGTTTTTTTTCTTCGAAGGTTGATTTAAGACCGCTCCTGAGAAAGAAAATTAGATGGTGATTGCCATCCTGTGTGCCATCCACGCCAAGAGGGTTACCATCATGCCCAAAGACTTTGAAGATATTAAATTCCCCCCCCCCAAAAAAAAAATAAATAAATAAATAAAATGAAATAAAAAATAAAATAAAAATAAAAATAAATAAATAAAATAAATAAATAAAAAAAAATAATTTTTAAATAAAAAAAATAATAAAAAAATAAAAAGAAAAAAAGAATAAAATAAATAAATAAAGTAAATAAACAAAAATAATAAATCAAATAGACCATTTCGGAGATAGCATGTATACCGATGATCCCTGAATATCCACAGATCTTTCAAAAGTTGAGAGGTCCCAAGTTGTTGCATTTTAGAATGGTCACTGCCACAATGGAGGTGTTCCATGAATACCTTGTGTTTGTCTTTTTGGAAAGAACATCCCCACATGTGTATCAAATAATGTACCATTGGTGCGAAAAATAATAATGATTACATAACTTAAATGAACATGTATCCAGCATGCATCTCAATTGAGTTTGAGTTTGAGTTTATTGATTTCACATTTCACACGCAGAAATAATACAGATATAAAAAAATATACATAAAAGACATATTGTTTCATAATTTAAAAAAAATGATTATATTATATTAATTGACAAGGTAATTATCACATTTGTTTGACAACTAATATCATTTAAAGGAAACCCAGACAAAAGTACAAACTGTGAAATGTGCAGAAACGTATAGAAAAGCAGATCTTGTAAAGAATAGGTTCCTGGGAGACTTGAAAAATAACAGGGACAGAAAATGTTTACTGTAGAGAGAGGTACACAATTCAAATTAAGATGGCAGTAATTTGACAAATAATTGTTTGCGAGTTCAATACAATACAATACAGAAAAAAGAAAGAAAAAGAAATACATTAAAACGAAGGGGAGTAACGAGCCAATAAATAACAGAGTATGCACCTATTTCTACCACACATGTTTGCACCACCTGAACGTTTACAATAACCAAACAATGAATTGAGTTTGCCAAATAACCCGTTATTTTCAGACTCGGGATACTATCCCGAAGCTCGAATTTGCATCTTCACCAGACCGATACGCTCATCACAAACTGGCTCAGCCGGGTGCAAATGGATATTTTGGAAACAAGACCAAGATTTCTCAGGATATTTTCTCTAACAAATATCTAGCTAATTGCGACTGTGGGCCGATAAAGACGCAAATTAACTGGTTAATTTGCGATCGGGATGGTTAAAATAGCGGGTTATTTGGCAAACTCGAGCTGATGAAAACAGGCCTAATGGGTTTTAAGTGCCTTACACTTACAAGCCAATCCATCCCTTGTATCAAGTTAAATCGGATGAAAAAAGAAAAATCAGATAAACACAATGCTGAAAGTTTGTATGGAATTGCAACAAGAAGAAAGTTATGAATTTTCAAAGTTGTAATCACTATGGGAATCTTGAACCTGGAAATATGGCATTCTACTTTGACATATTTTTTGACAAGACTCCAAATTGTTGTCAACTGAAATATCATTTGTTCCTAGTTTTCTCCTAATCAGTCAATAGAAGTGGAGACATACTGGAGATGCACTCATATTCATCAAATTATCCTCTTTATTTTATTTTATCCTTTATTTTTTTTTCCTCTCTGAAGATTCCACCAACGATAGAAGATGCTACTGCGTATGACGTTATTAAGACTGTCATGCTGAGGGAGGGTATCATGACTGAATAGGCAACGTGAAATTCAACCAGTGGGACCATGGCTGACTGAACAGTGCAGCTGGTACAGTAGGTGGGACTAAGCAAGATTTTTTTTACAGAGTTTGGAGTCTTTCAGAAGCTCTGTTCATATTTGTGAATACCGCATCGATGAGCAGCCAATATGAACAGGGCTACGGGATTGTGCTCAATCGGTTATGCCATGTGACACTATCACAAAACTTCTATATTTTTCTACAACCTTACGTTAAGTGTCATAGCTCATCATAACTTTTGTACGGTCACATGATAAACAATACACATGCTTTCATATAACAAAACAAAATCTAGGCTTTAGTACTTCTTGCATATAATAGCCTTCAAGATTGACAGAATGTCTCTAATGGAATTATACACTTTGATTTTTATTGATATTTTGCTGATAACTGAAAGTTTTTTCTCATTTTCAAGCGACATTGTACCTTGTATGACAAAAGGAGGCAACTCAAATATTTGTGTGCTAACATGGTGCATGTATGGTTGTGTAAATGTAATGTAATGTAACGTTTTGTTTACAGTCTTTACAGTTTACAGCTTCAATAATCGTTAAAAAATATGAACATATCAGTGAGGTGAAGGGAATATGACAGTTTAAATTTAAAAATTGATAAATGTATGATATGCTAATGGCATTGAAATCAATCATTCATGTGTGATCGATCCTGCCAATTTTAAATACCAAAGATTATGTTCAGAAATCTGTGATTGCCATCTGCCAAATTTTTATTGTGCTGTGAGCCATGATAATGTGTCCTCTCTGCCAATATAAAAATTCTTCATGAATGAAGATTGTCAATCAGTTTATTATTGTTATTATGATTATTATTATTATATATATATTTTTTTTTGGGTGGAGGGGTCTTTTAATAGAAAGATCAAAATATATGTAAAAGTACATAGTTTGATATATACAAGTTATAGTTTTCTTTCGTTTATTCTAGATATAGAATAGTGTATAGACAAATTATTTTTGTGTGAGAAAAGGATTGCTTGAATGAGCTACATATACATTTAAGTAATGTACATAGAGAAGTATATGCAAGTATTCATGTACATCTACAGTATATCTTGTATAGAAATTGATTTTGATTTTGTATTAATGAATCATTGTTGTGCCTTGAAAGGATGATGGTAGAAAAAAATGTAACTTTAAGTTGTTATAATGACATGTTTCAATGCTGCAAGGATATTGTTGTCCTATTTTTTTTATTTTTCATTTTTTTAATTCAGTACAATTATGTGTGATGAAATTCTATAAAGCAGTAGTAATATGCAAACTGGGGGGTGTTTCAGAAAGATTCTAAGTTGGACTTAAAAATTATGGAAAGCTGTTAGCATCTTTGAAAATATTTTGTAAAAGTTATTTTGAAAGGCATAAAATGTTGATTCAAATCATTCATATTTTCTATCATCAAGGAGATTTCATGTTCTGGATTTGGAATTTATAAAAAAAAGTATAAAATACTTGAATTTCTGCTTTTGAATATATTTCATTTTAAGACTCAAATGGCTGTCCATAATTTTTAAGTCCAACTTAGAGTTAAGTTCTACTTAGGATTTTTGTGAAACACACCCCCAGGCCTTTAAGAAGAGGTGAGAAATTGGGAGAGAAAGAGAGAGAGATATTTTTATATGATGATTGAGAGAGAGAAATTAAAGGCCTGTTCAGATATGACGAGTTAAATTGTAATACACTTCACATGTATCTTATAAACCGAGCTTGGTGAATAAGCACAAAAGTTCTTTGTTGCGCGCAGTTGCCATTCATATACATGTAAAAAAAAAGGAAGTGGCCTTTTTGCAGCGGATTACCGTGCCATATCTGAACAAGCCTTAAGAGTATAAGGGGATTTGTAATGAAAGCCAAAGAGAGTATTAATTGCACCATGTGATACAATCACAAGACATCATTCTCTTGTTAAAACTTTGCTGTTTATGATTTGAAGAAAAAAAAAAGATAAAAATCTGTGTTTATAAAATCTACATGTAAATGTACTTAAGGCACTTAGGGTAGAGATACCATCTACTCCAGTCCAAAGAATACATGATGCTAAAGTTAACCCAGCTATGAAAAAAAAAAAAAAAAAAAAAAGAGAGAGGGAGAGAATTTTTTTAAATCTGTTTCTTTCAATTGCCTAATCTAATATCCAACTCTATGATTTGACATTCCGCCACTAAATGGGCCTGTTTTGAAGTGCCAAAGGGAGTTTGCCGCAGAGTCGATGCCCTTCTTACTTTTAAAGGTAAAGACCAGTATTGGAAACGCCCCAATTTCAAAAAATGAAATGGAAGCTCTTATTACCAATCATTGTGAAAGAATATGTTTTGACTAATACATGATGATAACAAATTTGCCGGGAAACCGCCTACTAATTCATATATTTGGTAAATTTGTTTCTCTCATGGTCTGCGAGAGATATAGGGTAGTCCCATATACATCTTTCTGTGTATAGGGCTTGTAACTTTACGAAGAATGGGCCAAATTTCTTATCATTTTGATGATTCCAGAACCTTGCAGATGCTAGATGCTAGATGATCAACCTTTTCTGATCGATTCCACAACGTTTCTTTCACAATGCAATCGCATGACCATAACTGGTCTTTACCTTTAACATACGTTTTATGAATTATGTTTTATGATTTATGAGGTTTGATCTATTTTTGTTTTTCTTTCACTATTATTGTAAACCACAATGGTCTATATATCCTAATTATCATCTGGGCCATGTAACCCCTGTTGCACAAAACTTACCATTAATGGTAACTTTGCCATCAATGGTAACTACCATGGAAACTACCATGGAAACCTTGATTTTGATTGGCTTTTGAGCCCTGTTCCCATGGTAGTTGCCATTGATTGTAAAGTTACCATCATTGATAAGTTTTTTTTGCAACAGGCCCTGATTGTTTGTATAATATTACCATTTAATATTGTATTCTATGTATTCTTAAAATTAACTTGTAAAATGTGAAATTTGCAGAATTAACTGTATTGGCGAGTCAAAGATATTTAGTCATATGATGATCCATACATTACTAAGTAAAATGAAGTTGTGAACCTAAATTGACATCAAATACAATTGACAACTAAATCATCCATACCCTCACCAATTTTTTTTCCCGATTCATATTTCTGGAGAATGTGATATATATCTAAGCTTACATTTTGAAATATTCATCAAAGGTTTCAGTCTTGAGTTACAAAAAAACACACAAAAAATATCAAATTTGCAAGGAGTATGAATAATTAAGTTGTTAACTGCATACTCCATACTCTGTCAGATCTAAGCCAAAGTGGGCTATTTAATGCAATGATATGATATACTAAAATCTTGGATGTGATCGGTAAGGTATGAGAAAAAATAGCTTGGACTTGTAGATACATGAAACTTGTCTGTAAAGACCACCTATAAGGGAGACCAGAAAAGTGGTCTTTATATATAGACATGTGGTCTTTGTATACAGGTGGTCACTAAAGCAGGTTGGACTATAATTGGAATGATCTTGAAATTAAAGGCCCACCGCACTACTAGTAGCTACTTGCGCCCTCTATATAACAAACAATGCCTAATCGGTGACCATTGGTCCCCCATGATCCTCTTTTTTTATGTTAACTGAGAGCTGAGTTGATGAGATAACCACCTGTCCAGTGACCTTGCAGGGCAGTCTAATCCCTCCTGTAAACTACGGCAGATAAGCTTTAATCAAACCAACGCACTGAACGCAGCTCTAAATGTCAAGATAAAATTCAAATGTTGCATGTTTGTATCGAAGTATATTCATTGTTTGTTGATTATATGTGGACGATCTTGGTAACACATGAAATGTGATATATCTTATCAGTAATTCAGTAATGCAGGGTATATCATTGTGAAGTATAATGTATTTCACTTCTCTCAAGTATATGATAGTGAGCAAGAGAAACCATGCAGGCAATTGCAAAGTGTGTTATTGTACAAATATATATCAAATATGTCAGAATCACAAATGGACGTTGAATGAGAATATTCAATTTATTTTCACTGATTAAAGATAAAAGACTTGACTCATAATTACTACTCGGTGTGCAAAATTACTACTCGGTGTACATGAACAATGTACTTGTAATCAGCCTTTATACCGATTCAGAGAGCCATGTATAGGGGCCAGCAATTGAATCGGTTTCGTTTCGTTTGTGTTTCGGTATCTTAAACAAGCTTTTTGAGAGTCAAACATTTATTGCAGCCAAATTTGTTTCTGTCTTCGAATGATGTTTTGCCTTTGAAGTAAGAATTATGGTGCCTTTTAATCAAAATTAGATTTTATATTTTATACTCCTGGGTGAACGGTTCTACAAGTTTTACAAAAAGTGTGTGTAATAAATGTACTTCAATCACAAAATGGTCGGCAGAAAGGTACTTTCTTTTTTAGATGTTGCCCCCCCCCCCAGAGGAAGAGAGAGAAAGAGAGAGTTAGGGAGGATGAGGACGGAGAGAGAGGGGAGAAAAGGAGAGAGAAGGATAGGAGAGAGAGAGAGGGAGAGAGAGAGAGAGAGAGACAGTTGCTGTGATACCATTTTCTGATGTAGGAATTCTAAATCCTGAAATTTCATGCGCTCTTTTATCTCACGACCTGGTCAACAGTTGCAAATTAGCGCATTACTTTTCGGCGGCTTGGAGCATGGGGTCAAAGGAGAGCGGCTTGATTCCAGTCCTTCTCTATCATGTTCCTGCTTAAACCATGGACCAAACACTTTGCCTGATCCTAACCATTATTCTGAATCTAGCCTACAACCCATTTACAAATGACCGTTTAATCCAATCAATATAATTTGTGAATTTTATCAGATTTTGTTCTTTTATTTTGTTATTAACAAAACACTTGTGTATACAATTTTCACAAAGTAATAATGACATCACTAATTTTTGAAGAGCACTTTAACACAATAAAGAAGGCATAGTTCCTATGAATCCTAACACTAATTGTCTGACGAAGTAAATGCATGGACCAATATTTGCCGACGGTGCGCATGTTGGGGCAATCTCTGTTCAGAATCTTCTTAATACGTCATATAGTTTTTCGTGGTTATTTTCTCTCTCTTTATTTGTGACAAGGCTATTGAAACCAGACGAAAAAATAAAAATCTAAATGTAGATAGATGCTTTTTTAAAATCATGACCCCAAATACTTCAAAAAGGTAATCTCTGGGCAATTTTAGCACACCATTGTACTGCTTAAAGAAATCATGTTCCAATTATGACTGTAATGGTCGCATACTTCATTAAGGAGATGCGCTAGGCTTTTGAATTTCCTGTATGAAAGTCTTTGTGACGGTGGCCTATTTAAGATGAATTTTCACCAAGTGATAGGAGATCAGTCAATTCAAAAGATGAAAACTACATAAAGAAATGACCGAATACAAATATGCTTAAAAGAGAATGATAATTGGATTATTTCTAATTTATAAGATTGCTGCTTTTATATTGATCTTTTGGCAAGATTTCACTTCTTTATGTTATATTCAGGTATGAGAACAACATCATGTTCCCCATTGGGCGGAGACACAAATTCAGAAAATTGGGATTACAAAAACTGAACTGACGCTACATGCCGTCAGATATACTTTAATCTAGTCAATAAAGTTGAAAGATATTGAATTTTGTAATGTACTAAATACAACAAATTATATAAAAGAAATAGGTAACCGGAAAAAAATCATCAAAATTCAGAGTTCAACGCTACTCTTTCATCTGCCTAAATTGCACTAAAAATCTCCCCTTTTATATAAATTGTAGTAACGTATTTCGACAATGATGGGGCCTGTAACGCTTAGCTCAGTAGTTGATTGTAAGATCAATTGATTTTATATCACGGGCAATATGCGAAATAGCAATCAATTGCTTACTTATCTTTCTGTTACGGAGCCCCGATGTTTATTTTTCTTTTTATATCAAAGGCCCAATTACAGCAACTCACAGGAACCCTAATCTTTTATCCTTAGTCATATATTTTCTCACTGATATGACATGAATCTCATTTGATGTTTAAAAGGGAAACATTTCCCAAACTCTTTAAACATCGCCAATGGTATACGTGTTCAAGATCTCCTAAATTACCTGATAGAATACTACAGTCACGACAGTAGAATTAATTATGGATAGTTGCATTTTGCAGGTTCATCAAGGTGTATCATAAACGGGAACGAATTATTGAATCGATGAACCTCAAAACATTACCCGTCATGCGTACAAAATTGAATTAGATCAGAAAAAAATATGAATGAAATTTATTTCCACTTCATATAACGCGAACCAGGCATTTTGAGATCGAAATCGATCAGAAACAAATCTTCAAAAGCTTGAATTTATTTGGACTCTCTTTAAGATTGGTATTGATTTTTTCATAACGATATGATCAATAGCATTACTTCCGGTGCACAGCAACAAACGTAAAAGCAGCTGTCATTTTATTTTTGATTTTTGTTCCATTTTTATTCGAGAAGATTGAGGGAACGAGGATGGATAACAAAAGAGAGATATAGAGGAGAGAGAGAGAGAGAGAGAGAGAGAGAGAGAGAGAGAGAGAGAGAGAGAGAGCAGTCTAAACGAAAAGGGGGAAGGAGGGCAAAAGAAGAGGAAGGAAAAGAACAGGGAGAAGAAGAAGAAGAAGATGCATAGAAGAAAAAGAGAACGAAAAAGAAGATGGAGACGAGTAGCCTACAAATACAAAGAGGAAAGGAAAGAAATAGAAAAGGAGAGAAGGGCGCAGTATCGATGTGAAACAGAAGGAAAAGATACACAGAAAAGAAAAGGGGAGGGTAGTGAAAGGAATAATCCGAAGATCGGGAGAGAGATAGAAGGGAGAGATAGAGAGAGAGAGAGAGAGAGAGAGAGAGAGAGAGAGAGAGAGAGAGAGAGAGAGGGGGGGGGGGGGGGGGTACGGATAGTGAGAGAGAGGAGAGATCCGTAAGATCGGGAGAGTGTCTGGGATTTAAAGCATTATCAATAATGATTATTACAAACACAGGAGTGAAAGTGACTTCAAATAAAAGATTATTTTTCACATCTATAAAAGGAATATCCCTCAATATCTTGTGATATTACACTTCCGTGTACTTCCTGTCAAAACTATAATAGTCTGCATTCCAAGGTATGGCACTTGGCATGAATACGTTGCTCTCACCAATATGCCATTTCAATCAAACATACAAATGTTCAGTCATAATTGAAAGTAATGCTTCCAATAATAAATGGAATACCTTTCAACAGGCGAAATAAACATGTCTCGCGGTTATGAGGACGTTAAAAAAACGAGAAAAAGTCTGCCAGATTAAAAAAAAAAGCGGAATGATGTAGAAAGCAGAGAATACCTGTGCTTAATAATTCACCGAAAAACACATTTTCTCATACACGCGGTAACTATTATCCTGAAAATGCAACTTTATCACTGTTCATCCTGCTATGATCTCAAATAATGGTGCATTACTACGCAAAACCATTACGAATTTTCATGCGGAAATCTAAACACATTTGTGTAATCTGAATACGACACAGACACTCTTAATTAATTTGCACAATAACAAATTCCTGTTGTAACTTATTCTTGGCGCCACGGCTACATGATTTTGGGAAGTCGGTATTCGGCTTTCAGAGGAAAGTAATTATACCT